ATGTAGCTGATAAAGCTATAAGCAAAGGAGAAGCTGAAAAGATTAACAATTACAATATTAAACTGGTAGAGGATTTCTTGCATCTACATTTGTTTCCCAATTTTTTGATTTGTCTCATTTTCTAGTTCGAAAATGAAGTGGGAGTGACGGAGTTTGGAGACCGCTATGCAACGGTCATCCCTGGATGTCTTAGCTATCTACTGCGCAAAGAGCGCATTGTCGAACTGTTGACGGAACCTGCTGACATAGACGCGATGTGAGTAATTTCTAGAGAACCACACAGTTTTCCGTTTTTTCTTTCTGGAAAACTAGCTTCCAGACGCGAACAAGGATGGATGTCACATAAACCACCTAGACTACCTCCACTGGTGTCAACAAAGGCTTGTTTTGCTTTTTACGTAGAAGGTTCTACAGTGAGCTCAGTCAGAGAGCTGTCGAGCGATGAGTTAAAGCCATGGACAACTACTGGTACGTTTTTAATCCTCAGTTGTTTGGAAGTTGCTAGCTTATGTTCTGGTTCAGATCCAGTAGAGGGTGAACCCACTATCAAGCCGAATGTACGGAAGCATGCGGTGACTAGAGAAGATGGTCGCTTAGTCCCATGCAAGGGTGATGGGCGAACATCTGAGTTTCACCTTACCGAGTACAGTGCTTGGCTACCGAGACTACTTAGACTCAGGAAGAAGGTACGCGTGGTATCTAACCTTTTCGTTCACTTCACTGCTTTCATTCGCTTTGATTCCTTTTTAGATTTTCTATGTAGCTCGACAAACGGGCCAGATAGTGGGAAATGTGCTGATTTTGTACGACTTCACAATGCCAGGAGAAATTCCATCAATCATGAACATAGCACACGGAAATGATGCTTTGAGAGATATGCAACAAATGGATTTGTCTATGGAGTTGCCAGTAGCAGATGCAGATAATCCGGTAAGTTAGATTATCACTATTATCCAAATTTTTCGTAAAAGTTGTCCTCCTCTTTTTCGTTCTTCTTCTTTTGATTTTCATGATCTTGTAAGTTTGCAGCGTGAGGTTCGTTCAGC